TTTTTGCGCCGTTCCGCCCCTTCGGAGGCCGTCTTAGGGGGCCTCTCGCGGCCGCCTTGGGGTTCTCTTGGGGTCCTCTTGGGCCGCCTCGACGTTTTTTGGGACCGCCTTGGGGGCCTCTTTGACACGTCTTGGGGCCCTCCTGGGCCGTTTGGGGCCCTCTCTGGAGCCTCTGAGGGCCTCTTGGGGACGTCTTGGAGCCGTCTTTGGGCGCTCTTACGCCATCTGGCCACTTCGGGGGCCACTTTGGAAGCCTCTCGCGGCCGCCTTGGGGCTCTCTTGGGGTCCTCTGGGGCCGTCTTGGGGGTTTCTTGGGCCGTCTTGGAGGTTTTTTTGTCCGTCTTGGGGCCCTCTGGGGCCGTCTTGGGGCCCCTTTGGAGGCCTCTTGGGCCGTTTGGGGGCCTTTTTGGAGGCTGCTTGGGCCGTCATGGCCTTCTGAGAGCCGAAAAAGGCGAGAACGTTGACATTGTCCCAAAACTATAGCAACATCAAAGATTTTGGCCTCTGGAGGCGCTCTCGTGAGTCTTCTTGGGGGCCTGTTGGACCTTTTTGGGGGCCTCATGGGCCCTCTTGGGGCCGTCTTGGGCCGTCTTGAGGCCGGCTTGGGCTGTCTTGGGGCCATCTTGGGCCGTCTTGAAACCTTCTTGGGGCCCCAAGAGGCCCAAGAGGCCGAATTTGTTGATTTCTTCTAGATTGTTGTAGGTTTTTGGGCCCCAGAAGGGGCCCTCCACCTTGGTGTCGACGGAAGTGGCGCGACTCCGGGGGGGGGGGTTAGGGGGGATACATAATAATGCAACACAATACAATACGTGGCAATTATGCAAGCATTGGACACATGGGATCCATTGCATTAGGGCTTCCGCTCCGCTGCGCGACCTGCCTCCAGCAACACGTCACTTCCGGACGTGGATTCTATAGGCTTACGCCACATCCTCCGACCCCTATATAAACTATTGCGTCTCCAGGACTGCATTTCACGAGGCTTGTCCGAATCATGACACGGCGCTCGACATCGTTCCTGTTGCTTCGTTGCTGTTATCGTACTTCTTGGTGCTCTTTTGCGGCCTTTTGGTGGCATCTTGGCCTGTCTGCAGGCCATATCTGGCCGCCTGGAGGCATCTTGGGCCAAGTTTTGGGGCCTCTTGGGGGCTTCCTGGGGGCTTCTTGGAGGCCTTCGAGGTCCTCTTTTGGCTCCCTCAGGGCCTCTTGGGTTGTTCTTGGAGCGTCGGGGGCGTCTTCGGGACGGCTCAATTGGCCCTGAGACTGCCCAAAAGAGCCCCCAAAGGATTCCCAGGAAGGCTCGGACATTCAACATTTATTCAATCGCTTCGCTCACTCCGCTGGCCCGTATTGCATGATCTCTACTGCTTCGGCGCGGGCTCGGGGCCATGTAGGCGCCGCCGGAAGGAGGAAGATGAGGATGGAAATGGGGAGGGGAGGAGGAGAAGAGGATGAGAAGAAACGGAGGAGGATGACGATAAATATGAGGAGGGGAAGAGAAAATGGCGGAGGAGGAAACCTTTCGATGGCATCTTGCGGCGCTCTTGGGGCCCAACAGGGCCGTCGTCCAGATGCTTCTTTGGGAGGCCCTGGGGTCTGTTGAGAGTCCACTCGGGGCCCCTGGGAGACATTTTTGAAGCCTTTTAGGGCCTCTTTTGAGCCTCCTTGGAGCCTCCTGGTGTTTCTTGGGAGCCTCGTGGCGGCATCTTGGGCTACTTGGGGGCCTCTCGGGGTCTCCTGGAGCCCTCTTGGGGCGGAAGGCTTGAGGTTTCGGGTTGTGGTGCCCATCTTGGGTCCCTCCTGGGGCTGTCTTGGGGCTCTCTTGGGCCGTCTTGGGCGTCTCTTCGGCCGTTTCGGGGCCTGTTTGGGCTCTCTGGGGGCCTTATTGGGGGCCTCTTGAGCCGTCTTCGTGCGCTCTCGCGGGCCTCTTGGGCCGTCTTGGAGCATTGAAAAGCCGAACATGCGACAAGGCCACAATCCTTCCAACACCATCGTCAATTGATGCTTTTGGCCTCTCGGGTCGCTCGTGTGAGGCTTCTCGAGGCCACTTCGAGTGTCTTGGGGGCTTCTTGGGCTGTCTTGGGATCATCTTCGGCGTCTTGCAGCGTCCTTTGGGCGTGTCGGGAGCCTCTTGGGCAGTCCTGGCGGCATCTTGGGGCCTTCTTGGCGCGCTCTGGGGGGCCTGAGAGGCCATACTGAGGAGGAAAACCATCTCTGAGTAGACTTTCCCGTGACCTTCCCGGGACCTTTCCGCGACCTTCCCAGGCTGCGGTAGGGGTACTTTTCGCCTGGGGACCCCCAGGGGCCGCCCCGCGCGCCCAAACTAGAAGAATTGTGAACGAGTTACCGGAGATCTTAGCACGCCCCTGGCCCGTTGGGCCGGCGAAGTCGTCGTGTCCCCTCTCCGCTTTCCTCTTCCTCCACCCACGTCTGGGCAGGACGGATATAAAGTGCTACGCCGCACCGCCGACCCCTTGGGGTGCTTTGTTTGGGTGCGTCGTTTTTTTTGTGGGGCGGGCCCTGGGCAGTCCGGCTGCAGGTGCAGGCTTTGTGGTGTACGTGTGCGTTTCCGGGTAGGGGTGGGGTGAGGGTAGGGGTCTCAAAGTGTCATGTGTTAGTGTTCCGTGCGCGTTGTTCCATTGAGTGGCGCAGTATGGGTTGCTAGCGGGGATCTGGCTCCGGTCGGCGGTAGGGTTGTGAGGCGGGAAATGGCGAGAAAGAAGCATCGAAGAGGATTAGGTGAAGCGGGGCAGGAAGAAGAGGAGAGGAACGAGGAGGAAGTGGAGCAAGAGAAGGAGGAGGAGGAGGAGGACAAGGGAGACCCTGAGTAGAGGCTTGTTGTATGTGTATGGGGGTCTCAGGGCCTCTGGAAGGTTGTTTTGAAGCCACCCATGCACCGGGATGGAAAAGAAGGGTGAGGAGAAGCAGAGGGACACGGAAGGAATGCTCTTGGTCATGGGTTATGGGTTAGAGGCTTCTTGGATGTGTATTGGGATCTCGCGGCACGCCTCTCGGAGGCCTGTCGAATACGGTTTTGAAACCACTTGGGGGCCGTTTCGGAGCCTCTGAGGGGCTTCTTGGGGGTTCCTTGGGGCGTCTTGGGGGCCTCTTGGGGGCCTCTGGCGGCCTCTTGGGGCACTCTTGGGGCCCCCTGGCACTGGTGGTCCTGGGGGCGGAAAGCTAGATGTTTTGAATTTTTGGTGGCCCTCTTGGGCCCCTCTTGGTGCCGTCTTGGAGCCCTCTTGGGCCGTCTTGGGGACCTCTTGGGCCGTCTTGGGGCCGTTTCGGAGCCTCTGGGGGGCTTCTTGGGGGTTCCTTGGGGCGTCTTGGGGGCCTCTTGGAAGCCTCTGGCGGCCTCTTGGGGCACTCTTGGGGCCCCCTGGGGCTCCTGAGGGCGGAAAGCTAAATGTTTTGCCCCTCTTGGTGCCGTCTTGGGGCCGTCTTGGGGCCATCTTGGGCTGTTTTGGGGCCGTCTTGTAGGCCTCTTGGGCCGTCTTGTCTTCGGTGCCTCTTGGGCCGTCTTGGAGCGTCGGGAAGCCGAAAAGGCGAAAAGACAAAAAACACAGAAAAACACAATGGAAAATCAACAATTTTAGCCTCTCGGGGCCCTCTTGGGAGGCTTGTTTGGGACCTCTTGGGCCGTGTTCGAGGCCTCTTGGCCCGTCTGGGGGTCATCTTGGGCGTCTTGGAGCTGGTTTGGCGTCTCGGGGCCCTCGTGGGCCGTCTTGGAGGCCGCTTGGGGCCTTCTTGGCCCATCTTTAGGCCTTCTTGGGCCCAGAAGAGCCCGTGAGTCGCTCGTCGGCCCCCTCCCCCCCCCCCTCCAAATTGACCGGACCGGGCTCCTGGGGGAGGGTTTGGGGAGGGGGGGGCATCTCACACGCCGATGATTCCCAAGGGGTCGGCGGATTTTTCGTCGCATCCAGGAAGGGAACAGCAAAACGTTCGTGGGCTGCTACGCATTCCTTCGGCGATTCGACGAGAAGAAAACAATTCTGGGGTACATCAACTCTGTATTTGATCTCCTACTCGAACGTCCCACATCCCAGTCTAATACTGGCTACTTGGCGTGGCGATCTCGATCTGGCGAGCGAGGGCGACGCGCGACAACACTGAAGATATCCCGAGTGCGCGCGTGCCCAGTGCGGCCGATTGGAGCAGATCCTGGTCGATGCGAGTTTGCGAGAACAGCACCCACGGGGGGATGGCGGGCGCAAGGATGTCCTCCCAAGTCGCCAGTTGTGGTTCGTGCGTGATTTCGCCAAGGGTGGCTTGTCTCAGGCGATCGCAAACATGGATCAAGGGGGCGTGGATTAGCGACGGGTCCCGTTCCCATGGGAAATCGCGGATGTCCGCCGCCGAGCGAGGCGGCACCGGCCGCATTAGGGCACCCACCCCGATCCCAGGATTTGGCGACCGCGCGCCAAATCCATGGATCGCTAATCCATATTTGCGCGCCCCCGACAGTTGTGGTTCGTGCGTGATTTCGCCAAGGGCGGCTTGTCCCAGCCGCATGCAGCAATGCGGTCACTAGCGCGCACAATCGAACGCATACCGCTGTCATCGGGCGCGCTATTATGGATCAGGTCGGCGACGAACTGGCGATACATCGAGTTGTCATCAGCGCGCGCTGCCAAAAGTAGAGGAATCATGGTTCGTGGAGCCGAAATGTCGTCAATGATGGGCACTTCTTGGACAACGGCCTCTCATTTGGATATCCATTGCTTCCTGGCGCGCAGAAGCCTGGCACGTAGTATGAATACATTTGAAAGGGTGAGCACGGCCGTTTGCGTTGCCGAGACGGTCAGTCGAATCCAGACGAGACCATGCACGGATTTGTGACAACGGTTATTCTGCCATTGTCGAGTGATGCGGCCGACGAGAGTGACGTCAATGCGTCGTCCGCGTCCGTGTCCTCGCCCTCTTCCCCCTTCGCTCAGCCCCGCTCCCAGGGGCTCTGAACACGACGCCTTGTCTCTATGCCACTTTTTCCCCCGATTGAGGCCTTCGAGCTCTCCGGCCTGCTGTGGGGACTCGCGACGTTGGGAAGCATCGAGCCCGAGGCACGGCTGACAGTTTCGTCTTGTCTTCGGCGTCAGACCGACATACTACTAATACTACATGCGCGTCGCCCCCCCAGGGGCGACGCGCGCACAGAGAAATCGTTTAGTATACGCGCCGTGGTGGACGCTTTCTGGCATTACCACTGGGGAACGATCTACTACAATATGGTTACTGTATAGTATATGTTCGGGTCGGAAGCACGCCTCCAATGCGGACGTATAGTACTAGTATGTCTTTGCGCGTCCCGTGTATTCCCGTTGTTCTCCTCTCCTCTCCCCCTCTCTATTTCTGCTCTTCCCCAGGAGCTTCGGATCTCGGCGGTGCACACCATCTCGATCCCACTCCATCAGCATCGTCCAACCGATCCCCATCCCCACTGGGCTATGGTATGTCAGCCCCCTTCTTTCTGCCTTTCCCGAGGAGCTCCGCATCTCGGCGGCGCACAACATCTCGATCACACTCCACCAGCATCGTCTAACCGATCCCCATCCCCATTGGGCTGTGGCATGTCAGCCCCCTTCGGCCTTTCCCGAGGAGCTCCGTATCTCGGCGGCGCACAACATCTCGATCCCACTTCAGCAGCGTCGTCGCACCGATCCCCATCCCCGTTGGGCCATGGCATCTCGGCCCCCACCAGGTCACCCGCCCAGGTCGGGATGGGCCCCCCGCGAAACCAGAAGGGAGCAACTCCTCCTCCTCCTCCTCCTCCTCCTCCTTCTCCTTCTCCTCCTCCTCCTTCTCCTCCTCCTCCCCCTCCTCTAGGGTGGTAAGCTGGCCTGAGGTGCCAAGGCCATGCCAGTGGGGATAGAGATCGGTTGAGCGATGCATATTTTAGGTGCCCATGGTTGGCGAGCAGCAGACACTCCAGGAGCATCTAACGGCCTCCAGGGCCTCCAGGAACATCCTGTGGCCTCCAGGGGTGTCTCAGGGGCCTTCATGGGGAGCTCGATGAAGCCAAGTCTCTTTCAGTCTGTGACTGCATCTGTTTTGCCAGCTCTCCCTTTTGCTGGGATCTCGTTGCGTAGAGAACACGTGTTCCTCCTCCTGCTCCCTCTTCCCGATTCTTCCTTCCTCCCCTCCTCCTCGCTGCCGCCTCCCGCCTCCTCTTTTTCTCGCCGCCTCCTCGCTCCCTCCTCGCTTCCTCTTCGCTTCTGTCTCGCTCCCTCCTCCTCGGGCGCTGCTGGTGTTGTTCATGATAACGACCATCGGCATAACTTGTGTGAAGGTCGATTGCGCTGCCTCTAAGATGTTTTGCGACAGTGGGCCGCTGGAGTCCTTTTGCGGCCGGTCAACGCATGCATACTCCGATGCACGACACACGAAACTGTTTGCACACAGGTTTTCGCCTCACACATTACATTGCGCCTGGCCGTGCCCTGGTTGCCAGTCTCGCCAGATGCAGCGCGAGAGACCCTTCACAATCGCAACGATTGCCCTGTCTATGATGCGAACGGCGAGCACTGGATGTGAGAGGAAATAATCATCTCATGTGTGATCCATGTGTTCTCACATCTGCTCTGCGGGCGTACTGGCTCATACCAGAAGCATACCACAGGATGCGCTCCGAAACTAAACAGTGACAGACGGGTTGCGACGATGACAAGGACAGGGATGATTATCGACGCTCTTGAAAGAAGACTTGCCGAATCATACTCTATATAATGTGGATCGTACGCACCCCTCAAGTAAAGTGCAGATTCACTGCGCGGTCCCGTCACAGTCGGGCTGCTGAAATAAGGAACGCTAAACAAGGAACGAAGCCCCTCTGCGGCTTCAAAAAAGCTTGGGTGCGCGAGAAGGGCTAGAGGAACAACCGTGTAAGAACGCAAGGAACGCCGAGCCCCTTCCGAATCCATGCTGTTTCTTATTTCAGCGTATTGGCTGCGCGCACCCCTCAAGTAAAAATGCAGATTCACTGCGCGGTCCCGCCGATGCACGGCCCAGCGCTCCCTAGGAAGGGATGGCAGCGTGTAAAAGTTGAGCTTTCCCTCGCGCTCCCGTCTCCGCTTCCCTCTCCCGCCCCCCCTTTTCCTGCCTCCCTCGTCCGTCCTCCATCCTCCTCTCGTTCGTGCTCCTCGTAACCCTCCTCCCCCCCCCCCTCATCTTGATCCACATCTTCTTCGTCGCCAGCCGCGCGCGTCATCATCATCATCATCGTCATCATCATCATCATCAGCATCATCAGCATCATCATCATCATCAGCATCATCATCAGCATCATCATCATCCTCATCGCCATCATCATCATCATCATCATCATCATCATCATCATCATCATCATCATCATCATCACCACCGTCATCATCATCATCATCATCTTTATCGCCATCATCACCGTCATCATCGTTATCATCACCGCCATCACCATCCTCGTCATCACCATCGTCAACAGCATCGTCATCGCCACCAGGGTGCTCCTCAATCCACATCCTCATCATCATTGCCAAAACAATCATCAGCGTCATCGTCATTCACATCGTCGTCGTCATCGTCATCATCCACCTCCTCTTGGTTACCACCCGCACCCTGACCAGCATCCCCCTCCTCGCACCCTCATCCGTGCAGGGGTGGATTGCGGGTCATCAAAAAATGGATGCCCCTCGATCGTCATCAGCTTCCTCTTCTTCGTCAGCCTCCGCAGCCTCACCAACATCCCCATCCTCACCCCCTTTATCCGCGCAGGAATGTATTGAGGGGCATCCCAACAATGGATGCCCTTCCAATCCACCACCATCATCACCAGAACCATCATCAGCATCGTCGTCATCATCATCATCATCATCATCATCATCATCATCATCATCATCCGCCTCCTCTTCGTCACCATCCGCACCCTCACCCACATCCCCTTCCTCATCCACGTTTTCGTGGTCCACATTAATGGCCTCTTCCGCCTCCTCCTCTTTCTTGTGATCCTCATCCCCCTGATCCTCATCCTTACCATACAAGCTTCGGTTGTGATGGGGGGAAAAGGAATGGGAAGGGCCGCAGGTATTCATTAGTGTACCCTTGTTCCCCTTCCCGCAGGTACTATCATTCCTCTTCCTCTTCGTATATCCATTCTTATTGTGTTCCAGTTGAGAGTTGAGAGCGTGTAGCATTGCAATTGGCATGAATCATGTTGTTGTTATTCGTATTGTCGCGCGCATTCATGTTCCCATCTGCATTTGTGTCGTTGTTGGTGTGGCACCAGCCGCGCGCAGCATGGAACCATCCATGGCCGTCTCAGCTCGAGGCATGCCTGCCTCACGCTCGGGATCCAAATCTTCCCGCAAGTCTTCCCATCACTCCCGATCCCGCTCCCGCCGGCGTGACCGGCGTCGCTCCGGGAGCCGCCGCCGGCGCCGGCGCGGCAGCCGTGGCCGGTCCCCGACCCGCCCTCGGACCCCGACGCCAGCCAGACGGGCGTCTGCAGCTGGTGCCGCCGCCGGGAGGTCCCCCGCAATTTCTGGCCAGGAATTGCCCGCCCGGAAGCGAGGCCTTGCAGAACAAGGTCGTGGCCAAGCTTGCTGGCACCAATCTGGGCACAGATTGGCAGCTGGAAGTGGCCCCAGAGGCGCTGCTGCTAGAACACTTCCCGGCGCGGGGGGACGACGGCTGCCTGACCTTGTGCCTGCACGCGCAGAGAGCAGCCGCTCGCGCCGCCGCCCGCGCGGAGTCGGGCAAGCAGCTCGGCAGAGACGTCGGCAAGGCCATCCGTCGTGGACAGAGGAAGCCGGGCGACCGATCCCGCAGCAGCTCCACAAGCTCGCGCGGCGAGGACTTCGATGCCAGCGCCTGCCTGCGCCGGTATGGTTTCCCCAGCCTTCGCCACGAGCACAACGCCGCTTGCGACAAGCTGCGCGGGCTAGCCGCCTCCGCCCGCGAAGCTGCTAAACACAAGCGCACCTACGTGGTCAATGGTGACATTGCCGCAGGGTGCCCGCAGTGGATGCCGGCGGAGTTGCGGCCTCGCAGGGGCGCGGACCTCACCCACGCCCAGTGGGTCGCTGGTTTCTGGGCGCGCGGGCTGGCCCAACTCACGGTGCAGGCGCACGCAGGGGTTGAGGCGGTGACCGTCGAGGCTTTGCTTACGCAATTCCTCGACCTCAACCGCGTGGCCCTGGAGGACACCGGGCGCGTGGCGCACGAGTACGACTCGAACCTGTGGTCGGAGATGGCGGAGAGGACCCGGCGGCGGGACTCCGGGTGCGTCCCGGCCGCCATGCTGATGGCCGTCGACGAGCACCGGCGCGCGCGGGCTCGTTCAGCAGTCGGTCTGTTGCTGCAGTCCAGGCGGCAGCCCCAGCAGCCCCAGCAGCACCACCACCAGGGCGGCCACGCGGGGGCCAGGGCTCCCCCCGCGCACGCCCCGGCGGCAAGTGCACCACAGAGGCCGCCGAGGTCGCCGCCGCCAGTTTTCACCGGCGGCAAGAAGGGGGGCAAAGGACGGATCCGGAAAACTCCTGGAATCGTCTCTGTTGTTGTCGTCTTCGTTTCTTTCTCGGCCGCCCGGCCGGCCGCCTCTTTGGTGGAAGGGAAAAATAAATAACTTCGTTGAAGGGCCCAACCTGTTGCCGTTTGGGTTTGCGTTGGCGCGCGGCGCTGCCCCTTCAAAACCTGGACCCAAATTTGGTGGCGGCGCTAAAAAAAAACGCGTGCTCTTGCACTGAAAGGGGCCTTCCCTCGGGCCTTCCCGCGGGCCTTCGGTGTCTCTTCCGTACGAACGGCTGATTGGGTCGGCTTGGGCTTCTCCCCGGAGCAGAGCCAGCTTTCCATCCGTCTTTGCTCCATTAGGAGGCGGCAAGGGCCAGGGCAAGCGATGGTGAGACGATGCTGATCTGGACGCTAGCACGCATGAAGATGCTCTTTCGGCGTCTGACAGTGCTGATCCGGATCACGTCGTCGAGCCAGACAGCGGCTGCGTGACGGATGCTTTGGGCCACCTGAGTTTCGCCCGCGCTCGTTACGAGCAGAGCGAGTTTTTGCGGCCCGAACAACCAGGGCCTTGCGCCACTGG